GTATTATTATTATTATTATTATTATTATTTATATTTAAAAAATATTACTTGTTATACAAGTTTTACACAATTTACAAGTTTTCCTTTATATAGAAAATATGCAAATGATACCTAGAAATTATTCATGCATTATAATTATACAGACAACTCCAGACTATAAATTCATAACACTTTTGCTGGAAATTGCTGGAATTTACTTATTTTTTCAACACAACCTCAATGTTAGCCAATAAATTAAAATCTTTATATACATGATCATTAAATGAAATACAGTACCAAAACCTGCTACACAATAATTTGGCCTAGTTAACTAGAATAATTTACACACAAAAATCACAATAAATAAATAAATAAATAAATATGCATGTACATGATCAAAAAATAAAATACAGAGACAACACCCGTTACACAATAATTGTACCTAGTTAACCAAAATGCACATAAATAAATAAATAAATATGGCAAGCCATCAACTAGGACCAAACTCTCTCACACTGAAGCAGGAAACAGCTCTGCAAACACAATAATCTTTATAGTGGTGTCGTGGAAACGGTTGCCGTGGCGGTGTGAGTGCTAAATTGCAGGATCAGTGCAGAAGCATGAAAGCTTGTAATCATCGAGAGGATATCACTTCTGCACACACACACACACACACACACACACACACACACACTTACTATACACGTCATCTCTTTACATAAAGACTCTGTAGGTCAGAGGTCAACAGTGAAAGTTAAGGCTGTCGCATATAGGAGACTAGTCCATGAAGGCATCACAATTTACTGATCCTAAAGGAAGTGCATTAGTGAATGAGAGTGTAGCTGTTCTTCTGTGTGTGTGTGTGTGTGTGTGAGTTTTCAGTCAGATTAGATGTGGTTTCACATCCATCAGGCTGTCAGTCTGCAGGGTTAGACACCACACACATCCTCATTAGCTAACACCCATACAACCAGATCTCTATCTCTCTCTCTCTCTCTCTCTCTCTCTCTCTCTCTCTCTGTCATATCTCTATTAGCTTCTGCCTAGAAAATTAGCACAAATAACTTCCCTCAAGATCAAAGTCCCATTACAAAAAGAAACTGGAAGTGTACAACGGTACTTAGGGTCCAAAATGAACAATCACCAAATACCAAGTGTGTGGGGGGAAAAAAAAATGGAAATAACATTTGGGCAGTGATTCTATTAAGAGATGAGACCTAATACATGCTATAAATCAAAATACATGAATCATCTAAGTGACGTGCATAAATTAAATAAAAAAGAAAACATGTGGCACGTCTTTTTACAGCTTTTTTTTTCTGCATAACTCCATGTGGTGACACATTTGTGGAATATTCATCATCATCACATTATGAGACCAAAAATAATACATTAGGAACAAAATCACAACTTGTCTTCATGACTTTTTATTGATAGACATATCTCCCATGTGGTGGAGATTATATATTTCCGAAACATAAATATGAATAATATTTTTTTATTAATAAATAGTAGTTCATATAAAAAATGATTAAATATATTAAACAGTAATAGGTTTAATAGTAATTATTACACTCACTGACACAAATGATTATTGGTTAATAATAATCACCACATCATACCATCATTGCCATAGCATTTTTTATGTGAAACTGCAATAACAGTAAAACAAACTTTCTTTAGGAGCTGCTGCAAACTGTTTTTTTTTTTCTGATGGTCTGATTATGACAAATTAAAAGAATTTATAGCTCTATTCAATGAGAGTGAGAGAGAAAATGAGAGAGTGTGTGGCATACGATTTTTGACGACAGGCAAACTTTCATTGGTTTAAATGAATCAGGGCAAACAGAAAAACCAATCCGAACACTACGAGCACAGCCAGAGGGATCCATGTGACAGACACGTCATTGTGCTCAGTCCGTCTCACATAAACACTCTCACACACACTCTCTGAGCATGTCTGTGTCCATCTTGAGATTGTGATGACAGATGACGCACTGCGTTGAGGCAAAAAGCACAGATTCATGTCTTAATAAGACGCAAACATACAGACAGCCTAGAGCCCCCAATAACCAGAGGCTGACAAAGTACACAACTCCATTACTTGAGTGAAAGTACAGATACTGCTGGTCAAATATTACTCCATTACAAG